GCAAAATTTTTTTGTATTTAAGTATGTGTACATAGATTTAAAAGAAATATAGAAACATAAATAAATAATTAATTAATTTATTAAAATAAAACAAAAAGATTAATAAGATTTAGAAAAAAAGTTAAGAAAATAATGGATTTTGAATATTAAAAATAATGTCAACAACATATGAAAGAAGTGCAAAAGAGTTACATACTTCTTTGTCTTATCAATTTCAAACCTGAATTTGAATTTAAGTCTTTTTTATTTTAAGAGACATGTAGAGTAAAAAGTGCAATATTTTGTCATATTAAAGTATTTGATCATCGAGAAATATTAGAAAAAGTACTTATTGTGTTATAGTCAACAATAAGTAAAAACTTTATATTCTTTTAAAGAATAATGAGTAAAATAATTAGAACGAATATTGTTTTTAACTTACTAAATTAATACTACTTGAACCCAAAGAAGCACTTCTATATTTTTGAAATGGAAAGCTATTAAATGACTTTATATTAATTTATAAAATCAAATCAATAAATGAGGACATTTTTTACCCTCTTATTGAATAAATATCGAGATATTTCAATGATAATTGTGGGCTGAAAATTGATGATCGATATTTGAGTATCAGCTAATATAAAGGTAAATGTGAAATGTAAATGATTGATTAGTCCATTTTATGTAAATGTAATTAATTAAAACCAAATAGAGGTCAAAGTAAACTTAATAGACGAAATGATATACAATTTTTCATATATGAAATTTTTTATAGAAGAGATCTAAAATTTGAATCCAAATGTTTGCAATTAAGAATTTTGTAGAGAATCTTAAAATCAAATGTAAATTGAGGAAATTATTAATTATTTAGCTGATTTTAAAAACTGTAAGATTGTGAGTGAAATTTTAAATTAGTTGATATAAAATGTTAATGATAAAGTATAAAAGAAAGATTTATCTGATTAAGTAAAGTAAAAATTTAGCAAAATACTTAATTTTCATCTTTTAGAAATTTTTCAAATAATTGAATAACATCCCTTTATCAAGAGTTTTAATTTTCAATTTAGGATGAAAATTATTTTGAGTTAAAAGTGTGGAAGAAAGGTGGAAAAATCATTAGATTAAAAGCTCACAAATTCAACATACTGAGTGATGCGTAATAGATGCTTGCAAGATATAAGCGTCTCTTGGAATTAAATTAAATTTAATGTACATTCCTCAATTCTGAAATAGTGACCACTTAAAAATTTTACTACGTTTTAACAGAGAAAAATGATTAAATCTTAATAAATTTTAATAAATTGTTTAATCTATAGGATGCAAATATAAGAAATGATGACTTTAAAATTTTTTTAGGGTATGAAAATTAATTATAAACTTTAAATAAAATAATAGAATTATTCTATTTTTTGTTTTAGAATAATTTAATAATAACAAATATATCTCCTTCAAGTATATTCTTTAGAGAAAAATTACCAACTTTTTAAAACCCTTATTAATAAAACTAAAGCAACTAAATTGTAAACCAATTATCTTTCTTAAATACTTAATAGGAATAATATTTACAATAAAATTAGGAAATTTAATTGTTACCTTTTTTATTATCTTCAGACTAGTCGTAAAATGAATTATAAAATGAGTAAATAATTTAAAATTTTAACAACAATTAATAGCCAATGATTTCAAATTCAACAATAATTAATAACCATTTATTTAAAATATCAACAATAATTAAAAGCCTATGATTTCAAATTTCAATAATAATTATCCAATGATTTAAAATTTCAACAATAATTAATAACCATTTATTTAAAATATCAATTAAAAGCCTATGATTTCAAATTTCTATAATAATTATCCAATGATTTCAAATTTCAATAATAATTATCCAATGATTTAAAATTTCAACAATAATTAATAACCATTTATTTAAAATATCAACAATAATTAAAAGCCTATGATTTCAAATTTCTATAATAATTATCCAATGATTTAAAATTTCAACAATAATTAATAACTATTTATTTAAAATATCAACAATAATTAATAACCATTTATTTAAAATATCAACAATAATTAAAAGCCTATGATTTCAAATTTCAATAATAATTATCCAATGATTTGAAATTTCAACAACATTTAAATTTAAAAGTAACCAATTTAAAATTAAACTCAATTTGACTTGGTAATAGATGATTTAGATGTAAAAGATTTCTCAAAGGAATACAGCTAAATATTTAGCTTGTTATTAGAAACTAAAAATAGTCATTAAATCAAAGGCTTTAATAACTATGTATCTTATTTTCAAAATTGGTTGGAGTAGTTCTTATCAAAAATATCAGATTAATCTTAAGAAGAGGTGTCAAAATTTTATGATGAAATTTAATTTATATTTGATGATTTAAAGCTACTCGAATCATATGGATATGGAAAAATTATTAAAATATATAAAATTAATAATTTTATTTAATTTATATATCTATTTTTTAACAAAGTTTATCAAAGAAAAATTGAGGTGTTTATTAATTTATTTTTAAAAAAATAAATACAAAAATAAAAAATAAGTAAATACTAGAGTGAATAAATTATTTTTATTTAATATAAAGATTATTTAATAATTTTATTTTATGAATATCAATCAATCAACTCTTTATTTTAAATTATTTTTCTCATTTATGTAAATCGCTATTGATAATATTTATCCTAATTGACTAAAAATTACCCAATTAACAAAATATTAATAGTAATTTAAACTAAAAATTAAAAATAAAAAAAAGCAATACTTAATAAAAGTAAGTATTTTAATTTTATCTAAGCAAATAAAGATAGAGATTTATATTAGACTTACTAAATAGCTTTGAGTAATCATGAATAAAATGTACCATAAATAAATATTAAAGCATATTTTTAAATAGCACAAATTTAAAGGGGTAGCTTTCAAAAAATAAAAAATCAATTACACACTTTTACATAGAGTAGCTAAAATCTGTAATGCTAAATCAACTAAATTATAAGAATACCTACTGATGTAGATTTGCTGAATTATGAAAATTATATAAATAGTAAAATATCCCCATTTAGATAACTTTTTATTGGTGTATGCATAATGATAAAATAAATTCGATAGCAAAGGATACACTAACTATTATTCCAAGAATAAGAAAATCACCTCAATAGCAACCGCAACAATAGATATTAGAATTGTTTTACCTTCTTTTTTGAAATAGGTATAATAATTATCAAAGATTAATTTACATTAATCAATTTCTTCATTTTTACTAATTATTTTCTAAGTCATGTTTTTTTGATTTTTAATTAGTTTTGATCTTAAATTTTTAATCAAATTTTTAGTAATTTATAAAATTGAGTTTATATCAAAATTCAATAGTTTTCCTTATTTATTTACACGCGTATGCAGTTTCTGATATTTTTATTGATGGCTAAATTTTTAAAATTTGAAATTTAAATTTTTAATTAATAAATTCTGATTATTTTTGATAATTTTACTAATTTAAATTGATTGTATTTTTGTATTTTTATATTAGAATTAGCAAAAAATTTAGAAGTAAGAAGATCACCTAAATAGCAACCGCAATAAAGATTATAATTTTTATGTCTTTTTTTGGAATAAATATAAGTATTATCTAAGATTAAATTGCTTAAACAAATTTCTTCAATTTTAGTATTTATTAAGTAAACAAAAAACTTTTTTGAATTAGAATTAATTTTGATCTCTACTTTATAGTTTTTGTAATTTATAAAATTGAGTTTTAATCAAAATTTAATAGTTTTCCTTATTTATTTATTTATTTATACGCACGCGTATGCAGTTTATGATATTTTTATTGAAGGCTAAATTTTTAAAATTTGAAATTGAAATTTTTAATTTATAAATTCTGATTATTTTTGATAATTTTTCTAATTTAAACTGATTGTATTTTTTCATTTTTATATTAGAATTATCAAAAATATTTAAGAGTAGGAAAATTGCTTAAATATCAACCACAATAAAGATTATAATTTTTTTTTCTTTTTTTTTAGAATTATCAAAGATTAATTTGATTTAAATTTCTTCATTTTTACTAATTATTAACTAAACCATACTTTTTTTTGAATTAGAATTTTAATATTTATTTTTTAATTTAAATTTTTCTTAGTTTAAATTCTGTGAAAAAGTAAAATTGAATTTAAATAAATTGTATGGCTTTATTATTTACTTTTCATGTTAATATTGTTTGTTTAGGATATTTTCATTTATAGATAAGTTTTTAAAATTTGAAATTACTAAATCTGATAATTTTTAACTATTTCACTAATAATTAAATAATTTTATTTTTTCCTTTTTACATAAGGATAAATAAAACTGTAAACATGATCATTTTAGAAATGAGTTAATTATCTCAATTAAAATTAATTTATTTTTTCAAAATATATTTTCTGATTTTTTTGAATTAAAATATAAAACAAATCATACCATATTTTATTAATAATGAATGATAGAAAGTAAAATAATTAATGAATTTATAAATAAAGAAAAATAATTAATTTTTTGAATTGCTGATTTAAATTTAATTAAAAATATTCTTTTTAGGGAATTAATTAATTATTAATTTTATTATAATTCTATTTTTAATTTTTAAAGTTAAATTACCATATTTTATATAAAAATATGATGATTTAAAATATAAATTTTTTAGGTGTATATTCATATTAATTAAAATTGAGAAAGATTTGATTTTTTTCATTTTATTTTTGTTTTTCATTAAATGTGTTTTTTAATTAATTTTAGTGAAAATCATTGATAATGTTATAAATATAACATAATAATTAATTATTATGGTTCTAGAAAAAATTAAATTAAATTTTATTTCAGTTAATCCTGAAAATTATTTTAAAAATTTTAAACACTAAATATAATCAATTAAAAAAATAGCATAATTTGCTTTAATTTATCATTAAGGTATCCAAAAGTTTGCAGCACTCAAAAATTTTAAATAATCCTTCTTTGTTAGAATGATTATCAAGTTTATTTTTTATATTGCTAAACAACCAAATCTTTGTTGAAGCCAAACCAGGAGAATAGGGAGGCTAGCTATTTCATAATAATTAAACAATTCTCTTCAAGTTAAGATTCAAGTTTTTTTAATGCATTTGTGTAAGAGCATTGGCATGATGAATAATTTTTAGTATTAAATTAGCAATAGTTAATAGAGTTCTTTATGTTAAAATAAGATGAAGTAAAATTAACTTTTTTACTAAAATCATAATTTTATTTATATTCACAATTTTAATTATTTGTTAGCTATATATTTATTATTAATAATTAATAATGTTCATTCTAATGAGATTGTTATAGCCTAAAGATAATCTTATTTATAAATAAAATTTTTAAAATGAGTCGTTGTCAAATTAAAATATGTGTCAGAAATCATTTAACGTTATCTAATAAATTTTTAACTTAATCATTTTTTAAGGGTTTAGTTTGGTAGAAAAATTATTAAGGAAAAATTGTTTCTAAGAAAGTCTAATAAAATTTGTT